TAACCTCTCTAATCCTTGCTTGTAGCACATCCCAGTTACAAGAGGATTGTAGACAGCATTACCAAAGCACATTCAAGCCTCACCTAAATACCTCAGATTAATTTCTATATCACAGTAATTCAGACTTCTCAGAGGAATCTGTAGAGCTGGACCAACCTGAAAAATTCATAACAAGATTGTATACAATTTGATTGTGAGAAGACTTGCCTGGACCTGCAATCTATACAGGAGTTTCCACAAGGTTTTGTCTTACCAAGTAAGACTGTCACCATACCAGGACATTAATTCAGGGTTTAATGCGTACAGGAGTTTAAAGAACACAAATTAAGAAATTAATTCAAATGCACAACCAGCCTCAAGCAGAAACTGAGCATAACTCCTGGGACTATCTTGACAAATTATTTCATAAAGCAGACAAAATTCAGGCCGTTTTGGTTATTCTATCACCTTTTATCAAGGTCCAGACAGGAAAAACATTTAGGCCAACTAGCTCTAGTATGAGATATTAGGTCTGTTAACACTACCAAGGTTTGAGCAAGACAAAAGGTCCCAGCTAAAGTATATAAATATATAGCACCACAGAAGCAACCAGGAGCTGTTAGATAGGAGGCAAGTTAAGCATAAACACACTCAACTGTTTGTGCACTAAGCAGAAGACCAGAAACTCACAAGGCTTTTTCAGGGAGAGCAAAGATGCCCACAAAAGTGAAATACCTACTTTTGTATCTGAAGTCTACCAGATTCTTTTCCAATAGAAACCCAGCTGCTCTGAACTTCAGTTGAACAGCTTTCTGCTGCAGTTAACCTGTCACCTTCCAGGGCTGTCAGAGGTAATGAGGCTGAATTTGCACAGGACCCAGCTACGAGCCCGTGAAAATACATCTGACAGGACAGGTAATGTGAGCAGGCACTACGATGCCAGGTTGATCAGATCAGAGCTAGGACTGCCTGACCTTTGTTCAGGCCATTCTGATTTATTCAAGGAGTCAGAGAGAAGTTTTAAAGAGGGAAAGGGCAATGAAATACTTAAAGGAAACTTAGTTAACCCTGTGTCAGGTCTAGTAAGCTGTCTGAGCAGGGGTAGTGCACTGATGGGCTGTTCTGGTCCAGAGACCTCATCACAAAAAGTTATGATTGAAATTTCATTAATCCTATCAGTATGCCTAAACAGCAGAGGCATCTTTGCTTGCCAGAGTCATCACTGGCAAATATAAACAAAGGAATAGTTTCTGCTAGCAAGATCACTTATATTTGTAGTTAGTTTCATTTTCAGATATTAAACCCTGTTAAGGATTTAATAACTTTAATAACTTGCTTTTTTGATCCTGTCTAAAAGCAGGATCATTTATTTGGGGAAACACTATTCTATTCATGAACTTGCAACAAACTAGTTTTTCCTCACCACTTTCACTCAAGTTTGCCAGATGCAACCCAAACTGGTACCCCAATGCTAGTTTGACAGATTTATCAATTATTGTAGTGACTCGGTCATCTTCAAACAGCAGATTCTGTTCACTAACACCAAAAAGACTGCACCTCCCGAAAGACTAGATGTACCCTTTCATTCAAGGTCTTGCACAATAGCTAACAGCATTAGTGCTGACTGCAGGCATACAGAAACAGATGCCAGCTTGCTAGAAGAACTACTCTAAATTCAGTATTCACATACAGAAGAGCTTTTTGCACAGATTTCATCCACACATTTAAGTCTTAAGTTTCATTCTTCTGAAACATTTGTCACCAATCCTGACCAGGAGGAAGGAGAAAATTGTTCATAAATCAGAACCAAATCTTTTAACCATTTTTCTGAGAAACTATCACTTGACACCTTCTACAAATGACATTTGCACTAATACTAACACCTCTTGTAGGCAAAATGGTCTAGAAAACTGCATACATGCACAGAAGAGAACTGCACAGAGGCACAAAGCATTTATGTGAAGAAGTACTTCAGGTTTTATAAGCACCACATACCACCTTCTGCTTAAGTTCCATGGAATCTAAATACACAATGCATGCACTCTAAATACAGCTCAGTGAAACCAAGATGACTGGAGTAATTTCATACCTACCCCCAAAAACTTGATAAAGCACCCCTAATTTCTGAGCCCTCCTCTGAACATACTTAACAGGAACAGGATTAGTCTTTAGAGCAAACATTAGGATGCAAAAAGATTTCGCTCCCCTGTGTACAGGCATTCAAAACTTATGTCACTCACTGCAGACTACAATATGCCAGGATAAGGCTCTCAGTTTGCCATGTTGAAGCTATGTCACTTCATACAATGTATTAAGATTTATTAGACCTCAGAAATAAAACAAGCCTGGTCCTAGTAAACAAGTGATACTAGACTGCAGCAACTGCTTGTGGTTTAGGGCCAGTGTTTTTCAGGGAAGTTCAAGAGTACCAGTCATAAGTCTGAATTCGTACTCACCTCCCAGACTACTCCTCTACAGTGAGAAATTTTAATTCCATTTGACAATATGGAATCTTTAATGAGTAAGCTTTAAAATAAATATCCATCTCTATGTAATAAAATGGAAATTTCTAAGAAAAATTGAGCCCCCATATATTGGGGTAAAAATATTCTTAACTAGAGAATACCTAGGATTTTATTCTCTGGCAGAAGGGAGATCTGTGTGAGTAGAGATACCAGTATTCTGCTTTCTGTGGAGAAAGTCCTAGTGGAGACATAGGAACTAAAATGGCATATCTATTCTGCACAGCAGTTGTAGTGTGTGGTCCCTGGAATCTGGTAGTCTAAGCAGACACATACAGGATTACATCAAAGCTCTATCTGGATATAAATTCAGGTTTCTTTCCATAGCACATACCAGGCTTTATCCCAGCTCAAAGACTGTCTCCATGGACCAGAACTACTGAGCACACAGAGCATACCTGCCCATTCAAAAGATGGCAAGGGCTTTCCTACTAACTATCCTAAATAAGAATTTCAGTGTTTAGTCCTTTAAAGGAAAAAGGACTTTAAAGGAAAAAGGAAAACTTTTTTCCTTTGGCTGGAAAGCTGCCTGGCAGAAAGGGACCTGGGGGTGTTGGTTGACAGCCAGCTGAACATGAGCCGGCAGTGTGCCCAGGCAGCCAAGAAGGCCAATGGCATCCTGGCCTGTATCAGAAATAGTGTGGCCAGCAGGAGTAGGGAAGTGATCGTGCCCCTGTACTCGGCACTGGTGAGGCCGCACCTCGAATACTGTGTTCAGTTTTGGGCCCCTCACTACAAGAAGGATGTTGAGATGTTGGAACGTGTCCAGAGAAGGGCAACGA